AAATACCAAGATTTTTCAATTATCAGATTATTCAAAGTAAGTCTTATTAAAAAAGTATTGTTAAATATTTTTTTTTGATAAAAAAATTCTAAAATTTATATATTTTGTAAGATATCTAATATTTTAAAATCTTGGATCTTTTAAAGATAAATTTATAAAAAAAAACTTTTTAATATTAATTATTTTTAAAAATAATCAATAATTAAATCACTTTACTTTTTATAGATATTAGCTTTATTATTTAGAAGTAAGTTCTATGAAAAAAAATTATAATATTAAAATTTTTTTAATTAATCAATTAAATCAACTAAAAATATTACTTACCCTTTTGTAATATCAGATTCTTTAATTGGCAGATTATTTAGAGATAAGTCTTATAAAAAAATTTTTTAATATTAATTTTTTTTAAATTAAATCAATAACTATACTTACCTTCTTATAGCTATCTAGATTCTTTAAGTATTAGATCATTCAAAGATAAGACTTATATTATTAAATAGAATAACTCTTAAACTAATGATCAATATTTTGATGGAAATAGTATCATTAGAACTATCTTAACAAGAGCTTTCCAACAAATATAAGCTCGACCTGATTGGACCAATAGATGACGAGGTATTTCAAAAAGAATGATCAAGTATAATTCTGTAGATCATTGCTAAACGAAGTCATAATTCCTTAACGTGAATTAGCGATTGACCGGCTGGAATTATGAAAATGATGGAAATGATGAAAACTATCATAATGACGAAACTGATAATATTGTTGTTAACGAATTTACATATCAACATGAAAGCTTGAGATATCTGAAGAGTCTCTGACAGAACTTAGTGTTTTGGGTGTTCCTGTTGTGAGAGATTGCTGTAATTTGAAATTAACCAGGTATTTTAGCTAGAAATTTGTTGGAGTTAGTTGTCTTTTTTAACATTTCTTTTTTCAGAAGCTAATCTTAGGTTCGTATGTTCTGAAGGGTGTATTTTGTTTGTTTTTGTTAGAGGATTAGTGGTTAGTTAAAGGAATAGTATTGTGATATTGATAATCCCATTTGCTTTCTCATTGATGAGTTGTTCATTAAGAATAGTCTTAGTGGACTTCTTAGAGGGAAAGTCAGTGATTGGTCTACTCAAACGGGCTTAAAACAGAGTCACAAAGGGTAGCTGCAATTTAGTTTAGATTTCTTATTTGTATCTTTTGCTTTGTTTTACATAAATTAGTATATTTAAAATAATAAATCTAATTAATAAACTCATGACAGTACCACATCGTTAAAATTCAAAAAAAAAAAAAAAAAAAACGTCATTAACGAATTTAAATATGTTTACATAGTTAATATGGTTTACTTAGTTAAACTTATTAATTAAGTTAACAATATTTACAAGGTTTCTGTAGTTTATTAAGTAGTACTTTATTTTAATTTAGTAATAGAATTAGATTCAAAGTTTTGTATAAATAGGATAGGAACTTCATATATTCTCATCAGTCAATTTCAGATAGTCTTAGTTAGTCTTGAGTGAATTACAAGTCAGATAATTACTCAGTTAATAAAATTAAGCTAGATAGTCTTGATATTAGTTATTAGATAAATTTTCTAATACAGTTTTAATATAGTTTATTTTATAGTTTATTCTTTAATTTTATAAGTTTACGAACAAGAGCTTATTTAAATTATTGAATAATATTGATCCTAATTTTTCTAATTAATAAACCAACCTTTTAACTTATAACTTTAATTAGTTAAACTCGTAATATAAAATCCAATCCATCATTATTATTCTCCTATATAAATATATATATTAATTGTAGTGATTTACATTGATAATTCTATTGACGCTAACAAGACTTTAGGATTGTTAACATAAATTGTTATCTTTTAGATATCTAAAACATTGCTATATGCATTAAAGTCTATTTTTCAATCAGTAGACTTCACAATTGATTCGTATAATAATATAAAAAATATATATATTTTAATATGAATTTTTTTAAAATAAAATAATTGCCTATTATGTTATTTATATTTTATAAATATTAAATTCTTTAATAATCAGATTGTTTAGAGTTTAAGATTACTAGATAAAAATTAAAGGTTTTGCAAATCATCTAAATAGAAAAAGGTAAATTTAGCAAAATTATATTAAAATTTTATTAAAAAATCTGCAAAATTCTAGAAAAGGTAAAACTATATCAAAGCTTATAAAAATGCAAAACTATATCAAAACCTTAATAAAAAATTAGCAAAACTATAGTTTAGATATATTGTTAAATTCAAAATGAGTTTAGACAAGCAATCTGAATTCAAAGGTAAGATTTATTAAAAAGAATTATTAAATGATTTTTTTTAAAAAAAAATCCTAAATAAAAGTTTATTTATCTTCTTATATATATCAAAAAGTTATTTAAAAAAGAATTTATTATTTTTTTTTAAAAATAAAATCAATCATAAATAGTGATAATATCTTATGAAATCTTATAAACTTTATTTCTTTTAAACTTTAAATTTTATAAAATACAAAATATTATTTCCATATGTAATTTACTTATGAATTCTATTTATTTTTATATTTCTTTCTTTATTAAATATTTGCTAATTCTAACTCTTTAGCTTTAGCTTTTAACATTCATACTTCTACTTCAGCAACTCTTGCTTTAATAGAACATTCTTTTAAAAGCAACTTTTCTTTCTTCATTTTTTAGTTTAAGTAATTCATCATTTTTTTCTTTATATTTATTTTCTAATAAGATAATATCTTTCAGATTATTTCTTTTTGACAGATTTTACTTTTTTCTCTTTGGTGGATTTGTTGAATTATTATTATTTTTAGATTTTATATATTATAATAAAAATATAAATAAATTTTATATAAAATTAATTAAATAATATAATTTTATCTACTTTTATATATCAAAGTTATTTGTATTCTTTTAATTTCATTTTTATCCTATTAGGTATTAATAATATCACTTTTGTTATAAACTTCAATTATTTTATAATAACATCTTTCATCATATCTTTTACCTCTTTTAAATTTAAAATTATTTATAGTTAATGATATTAAACTTTAAATTTAAAATTATAAATTAACCTTAAAATAGCTAATAACAATCTAATTGTTTTCTCTTTCTATTTACTATAACATATGCTGCTTCAGTATTATTTATATTAGTTTTATTTTTACACTAAATCTCATGATTAATATTTAAAATAAATTAATTAAAGAAGCCAAAACATATGGTTGTTGATAATAAAGTAACTAATCTAAAAAAAATTTTTTTAATATAATCTTTTTTAAGAATAACATAATTAATTAAATAAATAATATTATACCTAAAGATGGCGTTGCAACATTGTGACACTTATTTGTCACCTGTTGCAACTTAAATTTTAATAATGTTGCAATTCGTTGTAATATTGTGATGCTTATTTGTCACCTGTTGTAACTAATTGAGACGCTATCTTTAATTATACCTTCAATTCTATTATCTTTGGTTTCATTTATTTTTTGCAAAATATTAAAAACTTGTTTTTTACTAAATGCATCAGAAATTTATTTTTTTGTATTTATGTTAAATGATTTATTATGCAAGTTTCTAAAAATAATAAAAAATAATAGCAAATTAGAATTAATAAATAAATTAATTAATAAATTTATAATACCTTTCAAAATGAATAAGATACAATTTAAAAATATAGGTTAAGTGAGATTCCTAATCTTTATTAAAGTCTAAATCATAAAGTACTAAATCTAAATCCTTAACTTATGTAGAATTCAAATCAGCTAGAATACATCTAACACTATGTTTATAAATATATTAAAATTAAATAAACTGATTACTTACTTCATGAATTATTTGAAATAAGAATAATCTATAATATCCTTTAGCTATAAAAATATTTGTAAAAACTTAATAAAATGATAACATTTAAAATAAAGTTAATATGTAATTTTATAATATGCATTATTAATCAAAAAATTTTTTATTTACTTAAATGATGATTAAAATCATATATATTGTTAACAGAGTAATTGATCAATTATAATGAAGTCACATGGATGACATAGTATAATGATCTCCTAATCTAAAATTCTGAAAATGCTGAGAATTCTATGAATTCTAAAAATACGAAAGATCTACATAATTCTAAAGATCTTCTAAATACTGATGATAATTCTAATTTTACAAATTAAACGAAGTCTAAGAATATTAGTATTATATTTATTTTTAATATTCTAAATTTTATTATTATTTTTATTATATTTTATATTTTTATTTTTTTACATATTTTTATTATTTTCAATATATTTATTTTACTTATATTTTATTTTACTAAATTAGTTAGTTTATAGCATAGTAATTAGTTAGCTGTCACTAGTCAAATGATGATAAATCAGCATACAATCAGATACCAATAACATGTCTTATTGGATTTTGATGGGATAACGGTAATTAAATATTGTATAATATGTACGAATACTGATTTTGGTTAATTAATGACTTCAATTAGCTTATAATATTCTACGATTGAGATGCGAGATCAGATTATTTATTTGAACTGAAATATTTACCGATTGTAGTAAATGAATAATATCAATTATGATTAAAAAGAAAAATAAAACCACATCAGGTTGTACTAGAATTTTACTATTTCATTCAATCAGTAATTCTGATCGATATTGATTTCTTAATTTTATTAGTACAGAATTGTTTTTATTTGTCCTGTAGAATATACATCGGAATACATTATTTTACTATTTGTAATGCTATTAATATTAATTTTTGCAACATTGTATTAAATTGAAAATAAACTATTATTATTAATTTTTAAAATGAATCATTATCGGCCATAGCCATTCATGCCTCAGTTTCCTTCAATCTATTCCTGTTAACCAATTCATATTTTGTTCGTTCTACTGATCAGTTTCTACTATTTCCAATTTTAGACTTTTTTGGAGGTCAATTAATGGTTTCTCCGATTTCATGTCTTTGTTTGATGTTCCTGATCAATGCTTTTTGATACTATTGGTGTTTGATCTCAACACATTAATAGAACCAGGAACAGTAGAACCAGTAGTACAAGTAGTAGGAACAGTAATAGGAGGAGAACCTTTATTAGGATTATTAGAACCAATAGTAGGAGTAGAACCTGTATGAGGAGTATTAGAACCTGTAGTAGAAATGACAGAACTATTAGGAGTAAGTGGTAAAGTCAATGATCGTGAAAGTGTATTTGAAGAATGTTTATTATACTGTCATCAATGAGCTACTGTAGTCTTGAAGAGTCTACCTAAGTGTTTTGAAAGGAGCCGATTGTTCTTTATCATAAAAATTATGTTCGTCATAAATTCAGGTTCGCTTTTTTGGGATTTTTGAAGATTCTAAGAATATACAATCAATATAATCTCTTAAAAATGAATGTAACTACGAATAATTATAGATTAATTACAATTAAAGTTATAATAAATATCAATAAAATTTACATATCTTACTATTAAAGAATGCTATCTTAAGTCCTTTACAATTATCTTTCGTTGATTTGATAGATATTCTTCATCAGATTCTGATACTTCAGGTAAATGGTATACATTATTATTCATTATCAAATGAAGTTCTCGCTCTTTGAAAATGTGAACTAATGGATCATCAATAGCCATCAGATGCTCTATCACATTTGCTCTATTGTTTCGTTTCTGTAATTATAAAATACAATAAGATCAATGAAGAATAAAAAATCAAATAGAAACAGTTTACTCACATCGGCTCATCAACTATTTGGTGTTTTCTTTTAGCTTGTTGAATTTGTATTGAAGCTGATTGCTGTTTTTTTAAATGCTCCTCATATTAATGCTTATGTCTAATATGTAGCATATCATATATAATATTTTCTGAAACAGGAAACATTTTCATATCCAGAGCTTGCATAATAGACAACATGATTATGTTATTTACTAATTGTCATTGTAATTCAAATGTATAATTTAAGTTCAAGCAGCTAGAAGTTGGAATTCTATTAATTATCCAAAATACTTGTCACTGTAAATAAAGATAAAGATATATCCATAATTAATATGTATATATATTGAAGTGAAAATGAATAAAAATTCTTACCCTTAAGGCATCTCAGTGATCTTTTGACAAATCTGACATCCAAAAATATTTAGGTTGATCAATACTGGAAGAACTTTTAGAATTCAAAATAGATTTAGTTTCATCATCAGAAATAGCCGATTGTGATTGTGAATTATCGAAAGTAGTTGATCGTAATGGTGATTTTTCATCATTACTGTTATTATTATCATCTCTATTATCATTACTTGATTGATCTTAATATATTGATTTTTTATTTTGTAACATATGTTGTAGTATTTTCTGGATATTCTTGTCTTTCAGAAGTGTTTTAACTATTTATGTAAATTGTTTAATAATATAGTTGATGCATATATTGATATTAAAATAAAACTTACTTTCTTCATTATAATCCTATTTATCACGATCATCATTATGATCATCAAAACTACCATCACGACCATAGCCATGTTTTTTACGAGATCTTCTATCTGATTTTGAAGAATCTGGATTATTGTAAGACGAAAAACTTTGTCGAGTAATGAAATGTATTAATAACTATTGAAAATCAAACGTATTGTGTTACTTATCATTTAATATTACATACCGTCTTTACTTTCTATGTCTTCTTCTGTCAGGTGAATAATATCAGCTCTTTTTCCTCCTGTTTCTCTGACTCCTTCTTCTAGATCAACTTTTATCATTATCTCTTCAACTTATTAAGCTTCTTCCTCTTCCTCTGCTTTTATCTCGATATCTGCTCCTGTTCCGACTATGACCAATACAGGACGAAGTTTGAGGTTTTGACGTCATATTTCATGTAAAGTAAAAAAAATCAAAAATAAATGAAGTGGAAAGAAAGTATTTTTTTTCTAAAAAAAAATGAAAGGAAAATAATTTAAATAGTTTAATTTAATTTTAAAAGTTTAATTTACTTTTATTATTAAGTTAATTTAGTTGATCAATAAACTTCAATTACTATCAATGGTATTGTTCTATTTGATTAAACTTTTATCAAATTATACTTTTTCATATGCTTTTAATATAAATGTTGAATAAAATCTGCATATATATTTAATTTTATTGATTGTTAAATTTTTTTGCCCAATTCTTGTTTTTTTTTAAAAAAATGATCAAACGAAAATCAAATAACAAATTAGCAATAGTTACAAGACATACAAAAGTTCGACCGAAAGTGCAATATAACTGCATGAAATGTAATGGTCGTTTAGTTGATACTTGAACTAGGAAAACCCACGAAATAAAATATAATCAGCTTAAAGCTTCTATTTCTAAAAGGAAAAAAAGAAACGGAAACCTCTAGATCAAAAATACAATCAAAATCCATTAGGATTAATTCGCAAAATTTAGATCACAATGATAATGTTATACAACCTAATTTGGCCAGTTCTTTATAAGACCTCGATGGCGATATTTTATTAAACAAATATTCTTTACCTAATTTGGCCAGTTTTTTACAAGAACTTGATGACAATATTTCATTAAATGAGGATTCTTTATCAAATTTGGTCAATTCTTTACAAGACTTCGATGATGATATTTTGTCAGATGAAGATAGCTTCACTAGTAATAGAATAATTTTTGCTACAAAACTAAACAATGTTAGAAAAAAGCGAAGAAAATACGATCAGTTTCGTATGACTAGTGACAATACCATTATCATTTCAGATGAAGAATATGAACAACAAGTTGATTCTTCTGATGATGACGAAGAATTTTGATCGGTTGATGAGGAATCTTCTTCAGATAAACTATTGTTAAATGATAATGAATCGTTTGCGACACCTGAATATGTAGAAGAATCAGATATGGAAAATATATTCACAAACATAAATATAAATGATTTTTGAATTCTTTTATGGATATTTAAATATCAAGAAAGATTCAGGCTTCCGGATATTGCAGTCGATTCATTAATCAAATTCTTCAGGGTAGTACTGTCTGATGCTAATGAAAAACAATTTGAAAAATTTTCTGCAAGTGCTTATATAGTAAGAAAGTTATTAAATATAAAAAGGAAATCAAAAACATATGTTATCTATCCTGAATGCAATAAAATATATTCTATTACAACAAATCAGATGAATTCAGAATGTAAATGCTCTCATGTAAAATTCCTGAATCATCCAATGCGAAATCAACAGGAAGCTTGTGAGGCAGAATTACTTACGAAAATTTCAGTAACAAATGGATACATATGGCGTCCTAAAATAATATATCCATTGCCTTGTCTAAGGACTCAAATAATTACAATGTATCAAAGGCCAGGCTTTGAAGAACTTTTAAAGAAATGGATAACTCGAGATAATGAAACCAGCTTACTTTCTGATATCTATAATAGTGAAATATAGCGAAATTCCAATCACATATAAATAATGTAAATCAAGAACGATTTTTCACACCTGCAATAACCGATTCTCATTTAGGATTAATGATAAATCTCGATTGGTTCCAACTATTTGAGTCATCTTCGTATAGCAGTGATGTAATATATGATGTTATATGCAATCTACCACAAGATGTTTACTTCAAAAAAGAAAATATTTTAACTCTTGGCTTATTACTGGAACTGAACGAGGTCAAATTACATCAGATAAATCATTATCTTGCCTCAATCATAGATGAATTACTGGAATTCTGGAATGGTATAGATTTATCAGCTACTAACTAGCATCCTATTGGTAGAAGAATCAGATTAGCAGTAATCTGTTACAGCAATGATATTCCAGCTGCACAAAAATTATGTGGACATATTTCTGCTTTAGTGGGTTGTTACAGGTGTTACAAACGTGTAGATAGTATTGATAGAGAAAGAGCTAATTTTGGAGGTTTTGATAATATATCTGAATGGTTTAGAATGCAGAATCCAAAAAAGCATCATCGCAATACTACTATTTAGAAATCTAAAAAAACAAAAGAAGATAGAAAACAACATGTTAAAATAACTCATGTTAGATGGTCTGAAATGCTTAGATTACCCTATCATGATCTAATTAGGCATCTAATTGTAGATCCTATGCATTACTTGTTTCTGGGCATCACTTATTGGATAGTAAAAAGGTTATGGATAGATAGTGAAAAACTAACAAAACAAGATCTAGAACTAATAGAAAAATGGTCAAAAATGATTAAGGTACCAGTGGATCTTGGAAGGATTTCATGCAAAATTGCAACTGAAGAAGGTTTTTTAATTTTACTACAGATCAATAGAGGATATTCATTATAGTTTACACTACTCCGTTGCTTTGAGAACTTTTGGATAAAGGAGATCAGAAAATCTTGGCCAATTTTGTAAGGGCTTGCTTCTTATTAGTATCAAGAATTATCAATGAATGTGTACTAGAAGAAGCCTATATCTGATTATTAACAGTTGCTCGTTTAATCGAAGACAATTATAGCCTGGCAATGATAACATCAAATGTCCATTTATCTCTTTATATTATAGAATGTTGTCGAGATTATGGTCCTTTATATTCCTTCTAGTGTTACTCTTTTGAATGCATGAATAGAATTTTAGGGTCCTTTTCTAATAGTCATCGTAAAATAAAGTCTGAATTATCATGAATAATATTATACAATTAGAGACTAGACGACCTTATATCATGTCATTTGAATAATTGGATGCTTGTAGAATGCTTGAAGTTCATACAACCAAGAACGACTGTGGGAAGCTTAGCCACTTATGACAATTTTAAATATGTGGAACTAGCTCATTTTCTGCAAATCTATCATTTGGAAATAGATAATACTATTACGGGTTCAGAAACTTTCCCAGGAGAGATGTTATCCCCTAAAAAAAGCAATGTTAACTTATCAGATAACATTTATAATATTCTGGTAGAATATTATAACGCAGCCTATGATTCAGATTTTGTAACTATTGCGGAATTGATTCAAATGAATATATGATATTTCAGTTGACAGATTGTTGTTAGACTAACTATCAACTAATTTAGGAGAATACAGATTAGCGCTGAGACTTTCAGATCAACGAATATATCACAATTTTACAAGAATTCTTTTATTCTTGCGAGATTTATTCATGATAACAATATATGTGATGTGTATCTTGGTCAAGTACAATTCTACTTTGAATACAAAGTAAACCTTCCAGATAGTAAACATAAATATTACCTGGCATATGTAAAATAGTTCTTGCCTGTACTGAATCATCAAATAAGATTCCATTGTCAAGTTGCCGATGATATTAATATTTGTAATATTGAATTGTGAAAATACGATTTTTACAAAATCAACAGAGATAGCATTATACCATCCATAATATATATAGCTGATTTACACTGTGTAAGTTCACAATAGGTCAAAAAATCCCGTCAAATAACTGCTAATTAGTATCTGATTTGTAACAATGCCGATTGCTATTTATTTAAAATATTGAAATCTCAGATATTCAAATCTATTTATATCAGGATGGTTGCTGATTTGTCAACATTTTACTAGTGTGTAACAAAAGAAATTTTGTATAAATAGATAGACTTTTTGCTTATATTGTAAATTAACTTTTACGGATTAACAATTGAGTTTCAATATTAATAAAAGAATCATTCAAAACTTATATCTTTCTGCCTTTTCGTGTCTTTATATAGTCTGACATGATCTCTACACATTATTTGTAATTGAGTTCATTATCTGAATTTCTGCATCTATCTCTTATCAACTTCTTTACATTTAAGAATCTCTTCCAAATTCTAAGTCGACATGTCTCTTTAGAAAACTCATCAAAGTTCTTGAAATAATCATACAAAATATTAACTTGTAGTGCTTGATAACTATTATATATCAAATGTTTAGGCTACGTAAATTATCCATTCTTGATATAACAGTTTTTTCTCATTTGGCAAATAAATCAAGTAAATAATAGGTAATTAAAGTCTCACATATTTCTCTTAAAAAAATGGTTATTATCTGGTAGTTCGATAAACATTCAATATTAAAATTCCTTAAGATTCGTTAGGTTTTTATCAAATTCAATATGCTTGCTAAATAATTATCTTTGATATATGTGTCCCTTTCTTCATAAAATCTCTAAAGAAATGTTCATTGAAACCTCTATTAGTATTGGTGATATTGGTGGCGTTAGTATTAGCATTAGAGTTCATCTTTATTTATTATCAATTTTAGAAAGAGAGAGAAGGATATGTTCCTTTTTCAGACTCATATTCTGAAAGGTTTCTGCATCTATAAAGATATTAGTATTATTAAATGTAAATTTATATAATTAGAAATTTACACACTTTCTTTCTTACTTACAATTTCATATTCCTGAATTATTCCTTTCCAATATTCTTTTTAAATTTGACATGTTCTGCCTTGACCTGTTATAGATTATATGCAATGTTTTATTTAATGACAAAGGAAGATACATAGTCAGATTTTCCTTTTAAATAGTCATGTCTAGTAATTCTTTTGATTCAAAAACACGATTGACTAAAAGTTACCCTAATTTACAAAATAAAAAATATGCATCTTTCTATATAAAATATTAAATTGTTTTGATCTAACTCCCTTACTTCTGTTAAAAAATGACTCAAGTATTGTCAAGTTCTCACAAATTTACAAAAAATGGTATAGTTGAAGTAGCAATAACTTCTTAATTACACTTTAAAAACCAAGTGCAAATATAAAATAAGATCATTATAAACTAACATATATCATGATTTTCTGAAGTTATAAAGAGTAGTAGATATGATAAAAATAAAAAATAAAAAATAAAAAATATCAAATCTATAACTGTTCTATAATCTTTATATAAAGATGCATTACATGTTTAATTGGCTGATACGGTAATACAAATTTCAATTCAAATGAATTAATATAGTTAGATTAATCAAAATTATTTATACATGTGACAAATCAAAAATTTATTATAATACAAATTTTACACAGTTTTAAAAAAATTAAATTTAAAATTTTATTAATAAAAGTTACAAGTTAAACTTTTAAAAATTCATATTTTTTAATATCTTTTAACCATTGCTATTGAAAATTTTGTAACAATTATGATTAAATTAAGAATTACCAAATATTCTTCAATTTATTTTAATATAATTTCAGTATCATTTAATTTATCATTATGATAATTTTATATCTTAGAATTCTCTCTATTATCATTAATTCTTAACCTTTAATTATAAGATTGTAATAACTTATCAATTGAAAGATAAATAAAACTAGATAACAGAAACTATTAGAGCATTTGAAGTATTCTATGCCTTTACAATATATTTCTAGTACTGCATTATGATAATCAGAGTACAAAAATATATATGTATTACAAAAAAATGTATCACTAAATTAATATACTTTACCTTAATTAATACACTTAATCACATTATGTAAGATCACACAATATGATTGGTTATATAGTAATAGATATTGCATAGTTAATATGAGTTCAGAAGAGTAATCCTACATTACACTTCAGATAATAATGCAAGCAATATAAGTATAAAATTTAAAAACAAATTTTGTAATATTTATATTTATCATAGAGAAAAAAACAGACCTTACATTTTTTCTATTCAGGTCTATATACACTAGAGATCAACTTTGGTGAAATTTGATCAATCTGTCATTTGATCTGGTTGAATTTCAGATCATCCAGATTTTTATTCATTAGATTTCAAATTATCCAGTATAATCTAATTAATTTTTATAATTCTGGCTGGAATTATAAATTTTGAGCAGAATTATGAAAATT